TCCATCTGTCCAGACCAGACCCAGAACATCTCCGCTGCGTACAGAAAGTCAGTTTAAAGTCTATATTTTGTGGTCTTCGTCCATATGGGCTAATCTCTAAGTCCCTAAGTCTTAAAGATAAGTATGCGGTCAGAAATATCTGCTTAAATACACATACGTTCAGACAGTCAACCAATGGTATTAAACGATTAGAGAATAAAATTGACTGAAATCAAAACATACCACTTAGACACACACACACACACACACACACATATATATATATATATATATATATATATATATATATATATATATATATATATATATATATATATATATATATATATATATATATATATATATATATATATATATAATAATTTTCAGTGCCTTAAATCGAAAAGTTATTTATTTATTTTTTTTTATTTTTTTTTTTGAATAACTTTTCGATTTAAGGCACTGAAAATTAATCATACAGTAAAATAACTGTTGGGTCAAAAACACAACGACAAGAAAACCACTATCAAGTCCCCCCCCCCCCCCCCCCCCCCCCATTCCCCCCCCCCCACCCCCAAATGTCAAGTTCGAGACAAGACGGCAGAAAACAAATAAAGATTACAACAGGTTAATTAAACAACAACAATTATCTCTGTGAATGGTGAGCGTCATCAACTTCTAAATATTCCCCCTTCCCCCCCCCCCCCCCCCCCTCCACCCCCCCCCCCCCCCAAATGCTTGAAATTGAGAAGATAAAGATGACGTCGATCAACTTTTTAACACATCCACAATCCGAGAGGGGGGGGGGGCAGAAAAAAAACCGGGAGGGGGTGGAAATAACAAATAGGGGACCAAAACCCTTATACCTATCCCCTAAAGTCAGGCCTCAAGAGGCTAAAGCCCCGTTTAATGCCTAAAAATAATATACTATCAATAATAACAGTAATAATGAATGATAAATAAATACACCACTATATTTGAAATAATACGAAATGTTCACAAACATGTTGACAAGACAACTTGTGTGCAGGGTTGGGGGTGGAGGGAGGCAGCCTTATCCAAACTGGGTGGGGTGGGGTTGGGGGTGTAGGGGGCAGCCTTATCCACACTGGGTGGGGTGGGGTTGGGGGTGTAGGGGGCAGCCTTATCCAAACTGGGTGGGGTGGGGTTGGGGGAGTGTTAGCCCCTACCTATAGGGAAGGAGGGATGCTCAAGGTGTCGATACCCCACATTCCCCGACTGTTGCCAGATACTGACAAATGATGTGATGTCTAAAACATAAAAACGGTACTGGAATAAACAAATTATTCAACACAAATGCGCGCAAGGTGGCCAAGAATTATCAGATTCCAACACTGACTAACTAAAACAATCATGACCAAGAATTATCAGATTCCAACACTGACTAACTAAAACAATCATGACCAAGAATTATCAGATTCCAACACTGACTGACTAAAACAATCATGGCCAAGAATTATCAGATTCCAACACTGACTAACTAAAACAAACATGGCCAAGAATTATCAGATTCCAACACTGACTAACTAAAACAATCATGGCCAAGAATTATCAGATTCCAACACTGACTAACTAAAACAATCATGGCCAAGAATTATCAGATTCCAACACTGACTAACTAAAACAATCATGGCCAAGAATTATCAGATTTCAACACTGACTAACTAAAACAATCATGACCAAGAATTATGAGATTCCAACACTGACTAACTAAAACAATCATGGCCAAGAATTATCAGATTCCAACACTGACTAACTAAAACAATCATGGCCAAGAATTATCAGATTCCAACACTGACTAACTAAAACAAACATGGCCAAGAATTATCAGATTCCAACACTGACTAACTAAAACAATCATGGCCAAGAATTATCAGATTCCAACACTGACTAACTAAAACAATCATGGCCAAGAATTATCAGATTCCAACACTGACTAACTAAAACAAACATGGCCAAGAATTATCAGATTCCAACACTGACTAACTAAAACAATCATGGCCAAGAATTATCAGATTCCAACACTGACTAACTAAAACAATCATGGCCAAGAATTATCAGATTCCAACACTGACTAACTAAAACAATCATGGCCAAGAATTATCAGATTTCAACACTGACTAACTAAAACAATCATGACCAAGAATTATGAGATTCCAACACTGACTAACTAAAACAATCATGGCCAAAGAATTATCAGATTCCAACACTGACTAACTAAAACAATCATGGCCAAGAATTATCAGATTCCAACACTGACTAACTAAAACAAACATGGCCAAGAATTATCAGATTCCAACACTGACTAACTAAAACAATCATGGCCAAGAATTATCAGATTCCAACACTGACTAACTAAAACAATCATGGCCAAGAATTATCAGATTCCAACACTGACTAACTAAAACAAACATGGCCAAGAATTATCAGATTCCAACACTGACTAACTAAAACAATCATGGCCAAGAATTATCAGATTCCAACACTGACTAACTAAAAC